TCTGAGCATAGGGTCCACAAGGGCAAAGGAGCGCAGAAAGTGGGGTGCTCTGTGGGGCGGACCTAGAACCCACAACTGGGGGAACAGGTTTGCCAGCTGATGTCAGCTCTCAGCGCTGAAGGGAGGGGCAGTATTGGGGATGCGTTCTGACAGGGAGGCTGGCCCGCCCAGGGGACTCCTACCGGCACTTTATCTGACTCCCTTAGGTGCGCACAGGGGGAACACGGCCCGCTGCAGTTGCTGGACCAGCCCCGAGGGTGGGGACGGTGTTCCGGGAGCGGAGGGAGCAGCAGGAAGGTAGCGCGGGGTGGCCTGAGCTTCCTCTCCCCAGCAGCCGGCCCCTCCCCGGCCGCTCACATCCTGGATTTGTTTGCCGGCCCCAGGCCGCCCCCTGCCTGCACAGGCTTCCAAGCCGGCCAGCAGCCCGCCTGTGCCAGGTACCTGCCCTGCAAAGGAGCCGGGCAGGGGAGGGACCAGCCCGGAGAGGGGCACCCGGCTCCCCAAGAATGTCCTCAGGATCTGGGAGCCCAAAGGAGCCTGCAGCAAGGTACCTGCCCAGCAGCATGCTACCCATAAAGACCCCCATGAACATCCCTCACTCAACACAAGGGGCCAGTACCACCCCTCCACACGCACACACACACACACACACACACACACACACACACACACACACACCTGCGACAGGTGAAGAAACTTAAACCATAATCTGTCCCCGGCCCCAAGGCTGATCAGAGGTGACGGGAGTGGAGGAGTGAGGAGTGTCTCCTGAATTTTTCACTTTCGTTCCTCACAAAGACCAATCCCCAGAGATGGGGACAGAAGGGCTGTGGCGGGGGCTGGGGGGGACCCGAGGACCCCAGTGGGGGCTGGGACAGGGGACACAGGAGCCTTCTCCATCCTGGCTAGCCTGCGATCAGGGCTGTGACAAGGCAAAGTGGGAAACAGAGGCTGAGGGCTCACAGCCCCCGTCCCACCCCTGCGACATTGCAGCTGTGGCCCTTACAGTCTCCCCATGTCTGGGTCCCCCGGACTGCTGGCCAGCTTCTCTGCAGACCTTGGCTTGAACTTCCCTCCTGTGTCCAGATTAGGGGCGCACAATAGTCCATTGTGCCCAGACACACCTGAGCCAGGAGCGTGATGCCAAGCAGGTGCAGAGTGGGAAGCGGGCGCTGCGTTAAGGGGGGCACACCCCTGGCATCCTGCTTTGCCTTGGGGGTCGTGTGGGATGTAAGAGTTTGCGGGACACCTGGGTCAGTTGTGGCTGCTTTCCCCTCCTGGGGTCACCTGAGGGAGTCGCTGAGCACGGGGGCGCTCTCCGTCCCTCTCAAACACCACCTGGCTCACAAACCGAAGCCCCTTCGCTGAAGCAGGCAGGCAAACCTCTTCCTCTGGCAGGACCCTGGGGTCCAGCGGCCCCAGCACAAGAGTCGCGGTGGGGCGGGGCCGCCTCGGGTCTGGCAGCTCCTCTTAACCAACTAGTTCCCTGGGGTGCGGCGGGGGTCCGAGTGGACCCCAGTCTGACAACGCAGTAAGGGGTCCCATTCCCTGCGCTCCGGCCGGGACCCCCAGAGCCCTGGCGGGCGGGTCCTGACTACCCCTCCGGAGCAGCAACCCCCGACGCAAGTTAACCCCCGTCCTCTTCCCTCTCGCCACCCCTCCCCCGCCTCAGTTTCCCCCCTCGGTGACAGGGGAAAGTGCCGGCCTCCCCCGGGATCGCCGAAGCCGCGCGGTTCCCACCCGAAAGGCGCAGGAAAGGGGCGCGCCCGCGAGGGGCGTCCCCCCAGGTGGACGCGCGCGAGGCGCGGGCGGGCCGGGGGCGCACGTGAGCGCGCCGAGCCGACGCGGCCGGGGTGGCGCGGGGCGCAGGTGCAGCGGGCGCGGGGCGCGCGGCCGGGGCGGGCTCACCTGCGCGTAGTACAGCAGCCACAACTCGTAGAGCCGCTCCGAGGCGGCCATGGCCCGGCCCGGCTCCGGCCCTGCTGCGAGCCACCTGCCGCCGCCGCCTCCTCCGCGCCGCCCGCCGGCTGCCTCCGGCCAGGCCCATGAGCGGGGAGCGTCACTCCGGGGCGGAGCGGCGAGGTACTACTGGGGGAAGTAGTACTGGCCCCCGCCGCTCTGGGCCACCCTGGTCCGCTCGCTCCTCCTCCTCCTTCTCCTTCTCCTCCTCCTCCTCCTCCTCCTCCTCCTCCCGGCCGGCCGCCGCCCGGCTTCCTGCACTTGGCGGCCGCCCCGCCTCTCCCGGGACCGTGCAAAGGGCGGGGACCCCGGCGGGAGGAGGAGCCTGAGGTCAGGGCGTCCCGGGGAGCACCCCTGCCGCCCGGCCCTCCGCAGTCTGCGCCCCCCACCGTTGTCTCGGCTAGGGCCGGTCCCAACCTTGGAGGTTTCCTGAGTATCCCTGGGTCTGGGTTTGCCCGGGACGCAGCCTGGCTGGCTGCACACATCATTAGTTTAAGGGACCGACCGGCTGTGGGAAGGGCCAGGGACGGTGGACCGCGTGCAGATGGCTAGGGTCTTTCCAGCAATATCCATGACGACCACTTGTAGCGCTTAGACCACGTGCCAGGTGCTATAACAAGTTCTCTGGGGGAAGTACCGAATACCGCGTCTTTGCTGCCACCGTATGAATTGGGATTGGGCGGGTAGGGGAGCTGGCCAGGGATCGGTGGACAAGCCTGAAACCCCTTCTGGGGAGCAGTGCCCTCCATGAGTCTGGTAGATCCCTTGGGAGGTTTAGGCAACCTTCTCCAGGATGTCGTCCTAGATGCTGCGGTGCAGGAACTCCAGCTCCAGGAACCGCACTTGTTTCATGATTTTGGAGATTTTTAATTAATCAATTAACTATTTGTTTTGTTTTGTTTTGGGTCACACCCGGTGGTGCTCAGGGCTTACTCTGCACTGAGGAATCACTCCTGGCAGGGCTTAGATGACCATAAGCGTTGCTGGAGATAGAACCCTGATCTGCTGCATGCAAGGCAAATGCCCTACCCGCTGTACTAACTCTCTCCAGCCCACCAAGTTATTTTCATGTTTTTCGTTTTTTTTTGCGCCACACCTCGTAATGTTCAAGGGTTATTCCTGGCTCAGTGCTCCAGAATTACTCCTGGTGGCTTGGGGACTATATGGCATGCCAGGGATTGAACTCAGATGGGCCGTGTTCAAGACAAACACCCAACTTGCTGTACCATCTCTCTAGCTCCAGGTTGGAGATTTTTTAAATCTCAAGAGGGTAAAGGTACAACGTTGCCTCACACCTGTTTTACAGATTAAAAAAAAATCGAGGTCCATGTGGATCAGATGGACACCAGCTGGGCTGGCAGGGACAGAGGAAACAGAAACACATGTCTGAGTGCACTTTGCTGGACTACTGTCATGCCTAATAAGGAGCACCTTTGCCCTCCTCCCCTTCTCTGCCAACCTGGGAAACGAGAGGAGCCTCTAGTGTTGGGCAGGGGCCAGGCCCATAGTTGAGGCTAGGGGATACGTTTGTGGGCACAGAGAGGTACCATCAATAACAAGAATTAACAGTCTAGTTAACCAGTTAACTAACAGGGAAGTTGAGTCTTCCCTCAACCTTGGAAAACCAATGGCTGTCTATCACTTCTATCTTCTGGTGTCCTCCTGGATTCTTGGCTGGTCCCTCCTATCTGGTTTGGCATCTGCCTTGTCCGTCCTACATCTGAACAGACATTTCCAGAGCCCCTACTACCTATGCACTAGGCTATGGCAGGCTACACACCCTATAAAGTGCCAACAGACTGTTTATCAGGTCAAATCTTTTTCTGCAGGTGGGTGCTTAACATTCTGCCACAGGGGGCTCTGGTGAGGGTTGGAAGGGAGGAATGGGCACCCAGCAACTGCCATCCAGAGAAGAGAGGCCCCATAAATACAGCAGCCTCGCTGAGTCCTTGGTGGTCTGTGTGTGGAGGGCAGGAGGGCATGGCCTCCTCTGCCATGGCAGGAGTAGGTGTGGCTTGGTGGACCCCAGTATATTGTCAGAAGCTCTTGACTCCTGCCAGAATGGTGTCTGGGTGCTCAGGGCATGCAGGAAATACGGCCCTGGCAGCTCCTGTGGAGGCCCCTCTGCAGCGCACCTGCTGCACCACAGGCTAAACCAGCTCAGCTTCAATCTTAGGAAGGAAGCTAAGGAATTTCTTCTTTTTCTGCTTTTTGGATCACACCTTTCAATGCACAGGGGTTACTCCTGGATCATGCACTCAGGAGTTACTCCGGCTCCCGGGAGAGGTGCTGGGGGGGGGGGGGGGAAACGGGACCATATGGGATGCTGGGAATCGAACCCGGGTTGGCTGCATGCAAGGCAAACGCCCTACCCGCTGTGCTATCGCTCCAGTCCCGCTAAGGGATTTCTTGGGGCCCTGGACGCACGTTGGGATCGCCTCTTCTCTAGGTTAGTCTGACACTGGATGCTTTGCCCCTCCAGGGGGTGCTGGAGAAAGGACCACCTATGAACCTAGAAGTTCAGCCAACTTCTATGATGCGCACCCTAACTGAGCCGAGTGGATGCAGAGAGCCAGGGCTGAAGTGCATCCAAGGAGCCACGGGAAGGGAGAGGCAAGTTTTTTCATTAGATCGAAATCAGAGTGGGGAGTTAGAGGCTTCTTGAAAACATTCGTGTCTTGAAGAATCAGGACAAAAGGACAAGGATGTCTCGCGACTTTACAAGGGGTTTGCAGTCCAGTCGGCACTGAATGAAGCTCTTAGGCAAAAAACAGAGATCGACGCACTCGATGTCCTTTCTCTCAGGTCTGATTACACTTGCTGCTTTCTCACCGATCGGCGTTGGATTAATCGAGCCTGAGACCATTTACCTTCGCCGGCTCCCGGGGGAGGCGGGAAGGGGCGTGCCCGACTCTAGCAGCTCAACACTGATTGGCCCTCGGGACTTTCCGGTCTCCCCCTTCCGTCCCTGGATTGGCTGTGAGGGGGCTCTATCAACTCCTAGGGCCTTGCTTATTGTTGGGACGGGAGAGAGAGGCGGGAGGGTCGGCGGCCAAGATGGCGGCTGCTGCTGCCGGTTTGGGCCGGCTGGAGGAGGAGGCGTTGCGGCGGAAAGAACGGCTGAAAGCCTTAAGAGAGAAAACCGGGCGCAAGGTGAGGGCTGCGGAACGGGAGTCGTGGGCGGGGGAGGCACCGTTCGGATCTGCAGTTGGGTCAGGAGGACAGGGGACGACTGAGGGAAAGCGGATGCCGAGGGCGCCTGTGCGCGCGCAGCCAGCGCATGCGCACACGGGCGGCACCCGCCTCCCGAGCCTGGGCTGGCCGAAGCGCATGCGCTGCGGGACAGCGCGCGCGGCCCCCTTTCGAGCCCTTGGAGTCTGGATTGTCGCGCTCGTGGGGTCGATGGCCACGCCCGCTTGCTGACACTCGTGGGTGTAAGGGATGGTTTGTGCGCACGCCGGAGCAGCGTTTTCCCCATGCCCCGCCCTGCAGCCTAAGCGCGCCCGCCCGCCTGCACTTTGGCAGGACTGCAGGGCCGAGCGCCGGTGCATGGTTCGGAAGATTTTTGCTACAAGCACCCAGAGGGCAAACGCCTTCCTAGCCCGGGGGAACCTCAAAGACAAAGGACAGACCCGGTTTTGATTGTTTTTTTCTCCCTCTTGACTGCTCGGGGGTATCCGACCTCCTAGTTAAGTTGCCAAACTTGGAAGCAGTTTTCTGTTCATTCGGACACCAAAATGCTCAGATTTCATTTCTATTTTGTTCCCCTTAAAAGAAAATAATTCTGCTGCAGCGGGTCGGACCCAGGGCCTCACACGTGCCATGCTAGGCAAGTGTGCTTCCGCTGAGCCCTAAAATCCGAGGATGAATTCAGTTCATTGTGTATATGCAAATCCTGACCCTGTCGTTTGGGGCTGTGGGACTTGGGATATGTTGCTTCCTCTCCGGGAGCGCCTGTTTCTTCATGTCTCCTCTGGAGGATAACAACCTCTACATGTTTATTCTCACTGGGTTATTTTGGGATCTAACAGGATAATGTGTGTGACGGGGGCCCTAGAGGTTATAGAGTTGCAGGAGTTGTTGGTTCTATTGTTGAATGGATGAAAGGTCTGTTCTCCGCTGTACAGAATGCAAAGGCTATTAAATATCTAGACCTTTGAGGCTGTGGCAGGATGGGTTGGGGGTGGGGAGAGTACGGACTCACACTTAACAACTTTAAAAAAGAAAAATCAAAGTTTGGGAGCCTGGAGAGATAGTACAGCAGGTAAGGCATCCCTTTTGGTCCTGGAATTCTGCCAGCAGTGATCCCTGAGTGCTGAGCTAGGAGTAAGCCCCGAGCACTGCCTGGTATGACCCCAAAGACAAAAAATAAAAGTTTAAAAATAAATTACAGGGGCCAGAGCCACAGTACAGCGGCTAGGGTGTTTGCCTTGCATGTGGCTGACCGGGGTTCAATCCCCAGCATCCTATATGGTCCTCAAGCACCACGGGAGTAATTCCTGAGCACAGAGCCAGGAGTAACCCCTGAGCATCGCTGGGAGTGACCCAAAAGAAAAAAAAATTACAGAATTCATCTCATCTCAAGACAGAGCCTGGCAAGCTCCCTGTGCAGTATTCAGTATGCTAAAAACAGTAACAAGTCTCAAGATGGAGACTACTAGTGCCCCCTCGAGCAAATCGATGAACAACAGGAGGACAGTGCTACAGTGACAGTGCTATTTATTTTTGTGATGGTGTTTTTTTTTTTTTGGGTCACACCTGGAGATGCACAGGGGTTACTCCTGGCTCATGCACTCAGGAATTACTCGTGGCGGTGCTCGGGGGACCATATATGATGCTGGTAATTGAACCTGGGTCCGCTGCATGCAAGGTAAATGCCCTACCTGCTGCTGTGCTATCACTTCAGCCCCAAGAGTTTGAAACTTTTGATGGTCCATTTCCCTGTCTATTACAATGCTTACAATGCTTTGTTCTTCCTGGAGCTTCTCTCAGTAGTGAGTCCAGCCTTCTCCCGGCCCCCATTGGCGCCTCTTACCAAGTCTCAATTCCTTTGTCCACAGTGGGTCTGGCAGTAATGCTTTTAGCAGCTTCAGGGCTAGTGACACTTAAACGTCTTCAAAATTCATCTAGTGACACTTAAACGTCTTCAAAATTCATCTAGTGACACTTAAACGTCTTCAAAATTCATCTGGGTTTCATTATGCATTGTCAGGGACTCCCTAACTACCTGCCTGCTTAACTCTCTTTTCCAATGGACTTGGGGTTTGAACCCAGGGCCTCACACAGGCAATGCCAAGTCATATCCCCGCCCATTTTTTTCCCCTTTCTACTTGACCCTGCCTGTGTCCTGTGGGAAATCAAAAGAGGAAGTAATAGAGTGAAAGTTCTTGCCAGATTGGCTTCTGCTTTTTTTTTTCTTTTTGGGTCACACCCCGCGATGCACAGGAGTTAACTCCTGGCTCTGCACTCAGGAATTACTCCTGGCAGTGCTCAGGGAACCATATGGGATGCTGGGAATCAAACCTGGGTTGGCCGCTTGCAAGGCAAATAAATGCCCTACCTGCTGTGCTATCACTCCAGCCCCTGGCTTCTGCTTTTGTTGGCACTCTGTCAAACAGTTGATTATCCTGCAGAGTGCTCAAGTTTTGCAATAGTTGATAGTCAGCTGTACTCTTGGCTTGGATTTAGAGTCCAGATCAAAATATAAAAGACAAGAGGGATACTGTAGGGTTAAGGTGCATGCCTGAGGGAGTTTGCTATGAGCTCCTGCATGGTACAGACCTGGTACAGACCCCACACAGACCTCATGTCTTGCATGCTGTCCCTGGCACCACATGTTCCCCTGAGCATCACCAAGTACAGCTCTGGAGGGCCCTGGCACTGTGGGGTGCCACTCCCAGACTGGCTCGGGTAATTTCTGCCCCTGCAAGACTGGAGCCTCTTCACATCCTCTAGCCTTCACATTGCACCTCTGGCCTTATTAGCTGAGAATTGCTGGGAGTGACCCCCAGGCCCCTTGAGTATCGCTTGGGAAGCACTAAATAAAAAACAAATGAATAGCAAGACAATATTCCAGGCCAGTTGCCATAGAAGGATGCAACAGGCTTTTTAAATTTTTTTGTTTTTTTAACTTTGGGCCATATCTTGCAGTACGGGGGGACCACTATACCTGGTAGTACTCAGGGGACCTTTTGGTGCATAGGATCAAACCCTGTCCTCATTCGTACAAAGGATTTGCTCCAATTCACATAGCTATTTTTCTGACCATTTATATTTTTTCTGTTTTCCTCCTGGCTCTGCATTGAGGGATCACTTCTGGCGGACTCAGGGGACCATGTGGGGTGTCAGGGATCAAATCCAGGTTGGCCGCGTGCTAGACAAGTGTCTTACCCACTATACTATTTCTCTAGTCTCATCTTTCTGGCCATTTATTTTATTTCTAAATTTATTTTTGGCCATACCTGGCGATGCTGAGGGGTTACTCTTGGCTTTGCACTCGGGAATTACTCTGTTGGTGCTTGGGCAGTATTGGGGGTACCATATGGGATGCCAGGGATCAAACCTGGGTGAGGCCTGTGCAAGGACTCTTGTCCCTTTTCTCGCCTTTTAATTATTTATTTAGGCTTTTGGGGTCACAACAGGTGATGCTCAGGGGTTACTCCTGGCTCTGCACTCAGGAATTCCTCCTGGCAGTGCTCAGGGAATGACATGGGATGCTGGGGATGGAACCTGGGTCTGCTGTGTGCAAGGCAAACTCCCTCCCCGCTGTACTATTGCGACGACCCCTCTCCTCCACTCCGCCCCCTTTTTAAAGAGTTAAAGAGATTCAAGTTCTGAGGGACAGAAAATATGGCCTGATTTTTTTCTTTGAGTTTCTGGTGGTGGTGGTGGTGGTGGTGGTGGTGGTGGTGGTGGTTAAAATGTGCGTCGCATAAACTGTCATTTTAGGGCCTAGGGAGATGGCTCAAAGGGTCAGAGAACCTGCTTTACGTGAGAGAGACCCAGGTTTGTAACCGGGCGGTGACGAGGGCTAACTCCTGGTTCTGCAATCAGGAATTCCTCCCGGTGGTGCATTGTATACCCTATGGAATGCCGGGAATTTTATCCTCTCTCTCTAGCCCCACATTTTGTTGATTTATTTAACTGTTCATGGGCACTGGATTGTTTCTACCCTTTGGCTCTTGTGAGAAATGAATGTACAGATGAATATTTGCATCCCCGTGTTCAGTAACTCAGAAGTGAAACTGGTGATCCTAGAGCAATATTATGCTAACTTTTTGAGGAACTGCCATGCTGATTTTCAAGGTGCTGATTTTGTTGTGCATTCCCTGCAGCAGTGCACCAAGCTTTAGTGTCTTCATGCCTAATACATGTTGTTTTGTTGATTCCAGCCGTCCTGGGGGTGTGAAGTGACTTCTTGCTGTGGTTCTGTTATGCCTATCCCTCTTTATCAGTCATGTGGCCCATATATCTGGCAGGGCCCTTCTCGGTACTTTTTTGGGAGAAATGTTGCATCAGGTTTTTTGCCTTTTTGTTTTTGTTTTTGTTTTTGTTTTTGGATCACACCCAGTGGTTTTCAGGGGTTACTCCTGGCTCTGCCTCAGGAATGACTCCTGGCAGTCAGTGCTCTGGGAACCATATGGGATGCCGGGGATTGAATCTGAGTCAGCCATGTGCAGAGCAAGTGCTCTGCTTGCTGTACTATTGCTCTGCCCATTTTTTTTTTTCCAATTGAATATGGTGGTGGTAGTGTGTAGTTACAGGAGTTCTTGAATATTCTAGCTAGTAACCCGGTTTCAGATACTTTCTTGTCCTTTTACTTTTCTTTCCTGATTAATGTCTTTTGATACATAAGGCTTACTTTGATTAACTTCAATTTATCTTTTTGGGGGGGTTAGAGTACAGCGGTTAGGGCAGTCGTCTGGCATCTGGCCAACTCTGGTCAGTTTCCAGCTCCCATGGTCTCCTGACTGCTAGGAGTATCCCTGAGCACCACTGGGAGTGGCCCCCAAACCCGCAATGTTTTTTTTTTTAAATCTTATATAACCAATATATCTACTTTACTTATCTTTTATACTTAGATATTTAATCCATTCTGATTATTTTTTGTGTGTAATATAATGTAAGAGTCCAGTACATTCTTTTCACTTGAA